TTTATTTCAAATACAAGTATAGTTAGGATAAATTTTGGAGCAAATTTGGATGCTCAGAATGCAGGAAATGACATTTCCGGGAGTCAAATTTCAAACATTTTCTGGGGGATTACACCCCCAGACCCCCATACATGGGTGGTATATTTGCCACACACGTGGCTTTCAGCCATTGCTATCCCCCTCTAATATATTATCTCACAGAAAGGTCCCTTTTCAAAAAATGCCCCCCCCCACGGGAAAATCCTTAAAAAAGGCCCTGCGCTGGTGTGAACGCGGCTTAAGAAGCGCCTATTTGAGAGTTAATCACTAGTTAACTACAAAATAGTGATTGAAAAAGTGATTAAGAGTTTTATACAACCGGCCCCAGCAACTCAATTGAAGAGAACAGTTCATGCCTATAATACTTAAGTAATTGATATTTATTGCACTGCATGGAAGTTATATTCAAAAAGATGTAACGGCTAGGTGTTTAATGAACACTTATCCGCTGCATATTTATGTTAAATGTGGTATACTAGAACCAGTCCTTGCATATAGGTTAGGCTTTCTAAACAAGAATATGCATGTGCGATTATGGCATGAGAATATATTAAATTAAGTTATAACTATGAGAATCGTAAGATCTGAACTAGACTTCTGTTTGAATTGCTTTTATTTGAGAATATACCCATATGCAATCCACACTGATTTATATAGAGCGTTTGCATGCACTCATTCCCCATGGACCAACTCAGTTTTTCTGAGTGGAAACTAGCCTTTAGGGACCTTAAACGTGTTAAGCCTACCGCACACGAGAGAAACTTGCTGAGTTAACCGCCTTGCCTGGCGGCTATAGCTCAGCTATGTATTTTCACCGCACACGTTGGGAAAACTTAACAACAACATAATTAGTAATGATTTTTCTGTGTTGGTGTAATGTACTCAGGTGACAACCGTGGTCAGGCATATTTTTCAAGCTTGCCCGGTGTGGATATACACTCGGAGTAACATCACAAGCATAACAACATAATTGACAAAATCGTTTGCGTTTTCCTCCATTGGCATTGCCTCCATTGTGTTCAACGTCACATAAAGAAACTATGGATTCTCATTGGCTAATTGATTCAAACAGCTCTGCACTAAGCTCACAACATCCGCAAACGTTGAGACTTTTTCCTGGCGAGGTGAAAAATATCAAACACATGGGCGTACCGGAAGGAAAAAATTAGGGGGGCGGAAACAAATTTGCCCGACTTTTCCGGATTGTGCCCGACTAGTACCTAAAAATTCCCCCCCCCCCGTCGCCAAAAAAATTTCGGTCGGTGTACCATTTTAGGGGTCAAAAACATTTTCCGGACATACCAAAATTTTTCGGAACATCACACAAATTTTCCAAACATCACAAAATTGACCACAAAATTGACTGAATTTTCGACTAAATTGACTGAATTTGTCCCATTTATTTTTATTACAAATCAAAATTGCCCGACTGTTGATCGAATATTGCCCGACTGCCCAAAAAACTGGGGCGGGGGGGCTAGTTTGAGTTCAGTTTGAAGAGATTAAAATAAAGGCCGCTTTATGGTTAAAAACGCTCTGCTGAGCAAATTTGTAGTTTCAGTTGTCGCGTCTTGACATGTTTGCGCGGTGTACACGAGACGTGAAAATCTCTTGTTTGCCGTTGTAAAAAGCCCTAACACAACGTCTCTAAATCCCGTGGGGCTTTTAATTGTTCATTTCTTTTGTACGAAATCAAGAATATCATTGTGTGAATAGCTGTCGTCGTCGCGTTGCCATCCTGTTTGCTTAATTCCGGCCCTATTAATATGGTAGCTTATGGTCACTGAATTGAGTTCAGTTTGAAGAGATTAAAATAAAGGCTTTATGGGCAAATTTGTAGTTTCAGTTGTCGCGTCTTGACATGTTTGCGCGGTGTACATAAGACATGAAAATCTCTTGTTTGCCGTTGTAAAAAGCCCTAACACAACGTCTCTAAATCCCTTGGGGCTTTTAATTGTTCATTTCTTTTGTACAAAATCAAGAATATCATTGTGTGAATAGCTGTCGTCGTAGCGTTGCCTTCCTGTTTGCTTAAAGGCGGTTTTCTACTAGGCGAAATTTTTCGACCGAATCGAAATTTTCTTTTGTCTTACAGGCACTCAGACGGAACTAATCAGAAATCTTTTGAATTTGAACAATAGAAATTTCGGTTCGATCAAAAAATTTCGCCTAGTGGAAAACCGCCTTAATTAAGGTCCCTATTAATATGGTTACCGACGGCAACAACAGAAATTTGCGCACGCATGCATATCCTTGAGCTTCTTATAGCTAGCATTGGGTATTATTAGAGAATAGAGATTTATCTATATTCGACTATCTATATTCGATGGACATATGCAGTCATGAGAAGGACCCTCAATTTTGAAAAGCGTCAGTATACCGTCCAAACTATGGAAATTCAGTACAGGATAAAACATCTTAATACTTTAAGGGAATTTTAAGGCGGATTTCCAGTCCTCGCACGAAGCTCCTCGCAGCTCGCTGCGAGTGATGCATGAGCACTTTCATCCAATCATAATGCTAAACAGTTCATTTTAATTAGATGCAAGCACTCGCAGCGAGCTGCGAGGAGCTTCGTGCGAGGACTGGAAAACCGCCTTTACTACCTATACCATAGATATAGGAGATCTAGATTGCTAACGCATACCTAGCGCAGGCGGGGCCTACATGATAAATCCAAGATGGCGGTACAACAGGGCAAAAAGACTATAGATTCTATTACGAAAATCAGGATTTTTGCATTTTTTGCTGTCGCATTGTTTCGAAACTTATTCGGTCAAATTTTATGGTAAAGAGAAACTTACCGCGAAGATTTTGAGCATATATATGATTAAATTGGATGAAAAATCGCAAAATTATCCAGCGATAAAAGTTCGTGTGAAATGGTCAGTTGGTCAGTTGGAGCGTTTTATTGCCAGAAATACTGTGCTATGTTAACATCTAGCCTTGTGAATGGTGTTTTATACTTGCATCTCTCATCATCATCTGCTCTGTCCTCATAATTATGAAAAATGAACTGTTATGTACCCCCCCCCCCTCCTTGCTTGTTAGAGAAGTAAACTGATGAGAGCACTGGATGAGGGTCTATCATCTATGGTCTGTTATAATTTGCTTTTTATGCAAATAGTGAGCAAAAATTCAAGCAAAACTGTACAAGTTACATATATAGTACTATATCAGTACTATACACGAACTTTTATCGCTGGATAATTTTGCGAGTTTTCATCCAATTCAATCATATATATGCTCAAAATCTTCGCGGCAAGTTTCTCTTTACCATAAAATTTGACCGAATAAGTTTCAAAACAATGCGACGGCAAAAAATGCAAAAGTCCTGATTTTCGTAATAGAATTTATAGTCTTTTTGCCCTGTTGTACCGCCATCTTGGATTTATCATGTAGGCCCCGCCTGCGCTAGGTATGCGTTAGCAATCTAGATCTCCTATATCTATGACCTATACCCAACCTCTAACTGATAATTTATGTCCCCTATCATAAATATTCCGTTTCAGGTATGGTATTTGTGGAAATCTAAAAACTCAGAGGGAGGTGGTCCTGTCCTAAATTTGCTGTTTTCGAATAGTCATGCATGCATGCAGATTCAGAGGTTCTCTAGATACTTTGGCTTATCTTTCTGTTGGGTTTTAGTGAAAAGCTTCGGAATTTAATCATGATGAACTATATATTATATAGCCTGTAGCCCTGACTAGCCCAATTCATCAACTGGATGATATGTGGGGAGGGTGGTTTGCGTGAGGAGGATAAGCGATTTAAAAAAAAAAACAAGATTGCATGGATTACTGTTTATTATTTCTTCATTACAAGTTTATTCATGCACCATCATATATGACATATATGATGTACTTTTGTCTAGTCTATATATTTATAATCAACATTCATAATCACATTTGTAAATTTACTGGAGGTTTAATCAAATTAATCAGTCCGTCATGACTACGTTCAACTACATGGAGGTGCGTACGGTTTTGCCTTGTAACCATTTCTCACTTTCTCCCAAGCCAATTCGAAAACGTATACAAGGGCGCTGTTTGTCTTTACTCGGTAAACGTATTTCTCTGGAGGATATGAAGCCACTTTAGCCATTTCATCTATTCCATGGATATGGTCACCGACTGCAACAACAAAAATGTCCACACCCATAC